AACAAGAAGCTACTAGTAGCAAAGGGCCTCGCTACTAGGAGCAAGGATGCTACTAGTAGCTCCTGGCATTACTACTAGGAACAAGTAGCTACGAGTAGCAAGGGGCATCGCTACTAGGAGCAAGGACGCTACTGGTAGCTACTGGCATTACTACTAGGAACAAGAAGCTACAAGTAGCAAAGGGCATCGCTACTAGGAGCAAGGACGCTACTAGTAGCTCCTGGCATTACTACTAGGAACACGAAGCTACTAGTAGCAAGGGGCATCGCTACTAAGAGCAAGGACGCTACTGGTAGCTCCTGGCATTAATACTAGGAACAAGAAGCTACTAGGAGCAAAGGGCCTCGCTACTAGGAGCAAGGACGCTACTGCACTCCTCGCATTACAACTAGGAACAAGAAGCTACTAGTAGCAAAGGGCCTCGCTACTAGGAGCAAGGACGCTACTAGTAGCTCCTGGCATTACTACTAGGAACAAGAAGCTACTAGTAGCAAGGGGCATCGCTACTAGGAGCAAGGACGAGCAACGACGCTACTAGTAGCCCCTGGCATTACTACTAGGAACAAGAAGCTACTAGTAGCAAAGGGCCTCGCTACTAGGAGCAAGGACGCTACTAATAGTAGCTCCTGGCATTACTACTAGGAACAAGAAGCTACTACTAGCAAAGGGCCTCGCTACTAGGAGCAAGGACACTACTAGTAGCTCCTGGCATTACTACTAGGAACAAGAAGCTACTAGTAGCAACGACGCTACTAGGTTGGAGACCATCGCTTTTAGGGCGATATGAAACGTTGTCTTCTAAACGGAATGAGCTTTTGTGGCGATTGCATCAAACGCATCAAAAACTTGGTGAGTTTATCATGAATAGCGATGCTGTCGCTAGAAGACCCGCATCCCGCCTCTGTGAAAACATGCAAGCGGTCCAGTTCCAGCTTTTGATTCTGGCAGCCTTGGAAACACACCGGAAGAAGGTTGGAGTATCAATTCGGACATGGCATGTCAAAATGTTTAGAGAACCGCATGCTAACGGTGCTGAGATAAAGGCAGACTTGTTTAATGGCGGTGAGAAAGCTCTGTGGGTTGAAGAGTTTGGACACATCCACCACCTCGTTGCAACCACAGTCACGGTCGGCGACGTCCCAGTAAATTGATGTCACTCCCCGCACGATGTGTTAGCCGTTCTCTGCGGCACGTCTCGGACTGCAACACACTCAACCAAAGAAGCATTTTGTCTAGGAACAAAGGGCATCGCTACTAGGAGCAATGTTCGCTACTAGGGGCTCCTGGCATCGCTACTAGCAGCAAGGACGCTACTAGTAGCTCCTTGGGCCTAAATACCTTTCGTGCTTTAACATCCAAAATTCCAAAACCTCCAAATCTACTTCCCTGCCGCCTTCGTGCCTTCGTGCTACCTACCCTACTAGCTTCTTGTTACTACTAGTAACAAGGCACTTGTTACTAGAGGCGATGCACTTGTTCCTAATAGCTTCTTGCTACTTGTTCCTACTAGCTTCCCGTTACCTGTATTAGATGTTTGAACACCATTTGTCTCCATATACGGACGCCCCCACCCAAGAATCGGTGTAAAACCGTAGTAGAGCACGTAGTGACTACGACGTACTTCATCCCAGAAAACCATGTCGCTGTATACCCCCTTTCGATCTGGTTCGGCTCCTACCGGTTCCTGCCAGTTCCTATTCTCCCCCCGGAACTACTTTTCAACATGATATACAGTATTTTGATGTATTTTGCAAAAAATCAGAACGTGAATGTTCTTTTCAATTCAGAACATGAAGGGCATCGCTACTAGTAGCTAGAAGCTACGAACGTAACAAGTAGCAACATCTTTATCCCTATTTTGCAAAACTCTCAGAGCTGCTTGCCGTACACGCTGCGCCACGCTGCGCCACGCTGCGCCACGGTGCGCCGTGCACCTTGGGAACGGCTGGAGGATCTGGAAACCAATCGTCCAGCTGCGCGCAGCGATCCTTCAGATTCACCAGCCAGGACCTGTCAAGCAGTGCTAAGCCCTCCAACCTAATAGCTTCTTGTTACCAGTAGTAAGGCACTTGTTCCTAGTAGCTTCTTGTTACTAGTAAGGCCTGGAGCCCCTAGTAGCTTCTTGTTTCTAGCAATGGCCCAATGGCCTCCCTAACTGCAAAAAGACGTGTGATGTAAAATACACCGCTGTTGTACAATGAAGAATCCGTCGCAGTCGGCTCTGGGGCCGCGAGACTGTGTGTTTGATGGGATGTGGATTGGTGTTTGTTGAAGTGGGTTATGTGGGTTATGTAGGTTTGGATATGATGCACCCCGTGGGAAAAGTGTGGGGCGGGAAGGGGGGATAATGATGTGCGTGTCAATGTCATGTTCGAGTGGATTTTGGATATGGTGTACTGCGATATGTGGGTTTGATGTAGATAGGTGCACGTTGTGGAGGGCGCACGGTGGCTCAAATGCTGGCGTTCGGAACATTCGACTTAAAAATCTCCGTTTCTTGTAAGCTAAAGGTCCAAAAGGTCCAAAAGGCCTGTTGAAGCAAACAGCAAGGCATATTTAGCAACAGCAACAAGCTATCTCAACACCGAGATGTCGGGAATGCAGATCTCCGAGAACGGAAAGAGAAAAAAGAAAGCGTCTCCCAAGCAACTTCCTTTGCAATCTGAGCAGCTTAATGCTTATCTTTGAGTTGAGAAGTAAATTGTTTCGTATCAACATGAACCAGGTGCCTTACTAGTAGTAACAGGTGCCACGCTAGTAATAACAAGTGCCTTACTAGTAGGAACAAGAAGCTAGTAATAACAAGTGCCTTACTAGTAGTAACAGGTGCCACACTAGTAGTAAATTGTTCACCTCTTCTGTGCCTCAAGGGTCTCGTGGAGGGGAAACCCAGCTTCACCCACCACACTGGCAAGGATTCCTCGGTCAACGCCTCAGACCGAAGAGACGAATCAACGTGATCAAAAAATTGCTATTAGATTAGGTTGGAGGCCATCGCTATGAGGAGTTGGAGGCCAACTAAATCTCAAGCAGAATAATGTTGGCTCCAACTAACTGGCTTCTAATAGCTTCTTGTTACTACTAGTAAGGCACCTGTTACTACTAGCGTGGCACTTGTTACTAGTAGCGTGGCACCTGTTACTACTACTCCTCATCTTCGTGTTTGCTTCACATTCCCACCGTTTCGACGGAAGCGTTTCTTCTCAGTCCCAAGCATCGGCCAGTTGCTCCATATGTTCGCTCATGGTCAGTTCACCTTTAAAACCCTGCTGCAATTCGTTGAGGCCTCGTACCTCCAAATGTGTGACATGATTGACATTGAAAACAAAATAACAATTTTTGAATTCAATGCGCTTTTCAAATCTGCCGGGCACCATCTCACGCACCAAGCAGTTCATGCATTCGCATTCCTGCGCACGACCGTGCCAGGAACAGTGATCCAAGGTGATCCGAGATGGAAAAAACACGACCAGGTGGATTGAAACCCCAAGATTGAGGATTGGCAAGTACCCTTCAACGTCCCTGCCAAACCTGGTGAGAAAAAGTGATACACGATACACCACTTTCACTTGATGGACCTCCCACAACCCTTCCGCGTGCGGATAATAAGTCTAAACAACGTAGAAAGAGGTTAGTATGTCCACACCGCAGACAAAGGGCATCAAGCGGCCCACGCCAAGGCCACAGAAATCAAGGGAGCGTCTCACACAGTGGTGTGCCTCTGCACCAAAGGATGCATGGAGAGCAACAATTCAACGATGCAAACACATCTATATCTATCCATTTCAACTATCCTGCCAGCCCGCATCCTAGATTGAAACGCTAGTAGTAACAAGTGCCTTACTAGTAGTAACAAGTGCCAGCCCGCATCCTATATAAGTACAAGTGTTCGGACACAAAGTGACACCGCGTCAAACACTTTGCTGGTGTTGATGGCAAAGCAATTCGCGTCTCAAGCGTGAACGGTGTCTCGACCTGCAGAGCTACAGAACACTAAACGATTAAATTCTTATTGTTACTACTAGTAAGGCACTTGTTTCTACTAGCTTCTTGTTACTA